GGAGCCCGATGCGGGACTCGATCCCGGGACTCCAGGATCATGACCTGAGCTGAAGGCAGTCGCTTAACCAACTGAGCCACCCAGGCGCCCAAGAGTGTTTTTCTCTTTGCAGTTGGAATAAACGTTAGAGGTTCTTTATTTTTCTTCTTCTTTCAAAATGGTCTGCTCTGTTTTCAGGTAATGTAGTAGCTTTGTAAAATTCCCGATAATTGACAGTCATTTTTCTTCCAAAGAACAAAGAGGTGAATCGTTGGAGATGAAGATATGGAAGCTTATCCCACTGTCTTTCTCACTATGCAAATCCATACTTTCTGTTTTGTTTAGAAGGCTCATTTTGTTTCGAAGTGAGAACAGCGATTTTAAAACTCTGGCGCAAAGACATTTGGTTCAGAACCCACAGAAAGATTCCTGAGCCAGGGGCACTTCTCCGCTGGTTTTTGTTTGTCTGTGTTTTCTGTGTGGGTGGATCACATTAAGTGGAAAGCCAGAAAACAGACACATCCTGCTTCAGACCTTCTGAAGCAAATTACTAAAGCTAGTTAGTGCTGTGTTCTTCTTCTGTCTTCCCGGTGCTTTGTGGAAGCTTTGCCTGTCATCTGGCATTAGCTTTGTGCATAATTAGTTATTGATCATGAATAAGTTGTTGCAGATCTGTCATTCTGCTGTCATTTCCTGGGTCACAAAAATAGAATGTAGCTAATAGACAACAATCTTGCCATTCCCTGATAATGAGTACTTATAATGTGTAAATAGAGCAAGGAATGATAACTAGGTCTTACTCATCTGTTTACTTACTGATAGCCCTCTGAGTTCTTTCCTCACCCCTTCCTCCACGTGAAGGTGAGTCAAACTTATTTGATAAAACCAAGAGGTGAGACTCCAGAGGCCTCCCTTTCATTACAGACAGATGCATCAGTAGGAATGCTGTAAATTATTAACCATTTCTGTGTTTTAAATATGTTGATTGGCAGCAGAGAAACTAATAAGTAAATTTACATCTTTGAGGGATTCTTGGTAAATTTAGATATCATAGACTCATTACTTATACCTTACAGATTTTAAAACTGTTACTGGGGGCATACACATTTAGAATTGTGATCTCTGTCTTCTGGATTTACAGACATAACTCACTTTATTGCTGTTTGCTTTATTGCCACTTTGCATATCCTGTGGTTTTTATAAATCAGTTTGTGGCAACCCTGTGTCAAGCAAGCCTATTGGTGCCATTTTTCCGAAAGCATTTGCTCACTTCATATCTCTGTGTCGTGTTTAGGTAATTCTTGCAATATTTCAAACTTTTCCCTTACTATTGTATTCGTTATGGTGCTCTGTGATCAGTGATTATCAATGGCTAAAACCCCAGATGACTGTTAACATTTTTTAGCAATGAAGTTTTTTTAAATTAAGGTATGTACTTTTTTTTTTAGGATATAATGCTGTCACACATTTAATAGACTGCACTATAGTGTAAACATATTTTTCATATGTACTGGGAAACCAGAAAATTAATTTGACTCTATTGCCATACTCATTTTATTGTGGTGGTCTGGAAACTGAACCTACGGTGTCTCAGAGGGATGCCTGTATCCTTTTAATCGATATGAAAACTTTCCCTTTATCTTTTGGTTAATATTTGCATGGAATATCTCTTCTCTTTTTTGCTTTTAACCTCTCTGTATCCTTATATTTAAGGTCTGTCTCTTGCACGTAACACATTGTTGTATCTTTATTTCATCCAGTCTGAAAATCCTTTTAACTGAGGATATAGTTTGTTTATATGTGATGGGTTTGTACCTACTGTCTTTCTTTTTTTTTTTTTTAATCTATTTTAGTCCATGTGTTTTTTTTTTAAGATTTTATTTTATTTATTTGACAGAGAGAGAGAGAGAGAGA